TAGGGAAGGCACCTGAGGAGCCTCTGCATCTGGTAGACTAAAAGCTTCTCGCTCCACAGGCTGGAGAGCAGGTTCTCTACAGTTCTCTGGACCCTGCACTTGGATATTGGCATTTGCTGCTGTCCCTTTCTTGAGCTGGCTGTGAGAACACTGTGTGTCCTTCCTTGAGTGCTTTGGATGATCCAAGGAGTGGCCTGCATGTCCTTCTGGATTCTCAAAAGTTAAAGGAGGAAATTTGCAGGCTGCAGCTCTTCGACAAGGTCCTCCTGCATGAAGCAAACTGTGGTTGGCATCCTGATTCTGGGGCTTGTGAGGACCACGGTGCTTCTTCTGGCACGCTTTCAACACCACTGGCTTAGTTGTTTCAAATTGTGGGCACACCTGAAAAAAAACCACATAATAATATGATAAAAACCCAGCCATTTTCTCCAGACAAGTAATGCCAACCTGATTCTGCTTTGCCACCTGTCCCATCTTTTTTCGGTGTGTTCACTGAGTAAGCTGGTCTGCTGCAAAGGGAGTCACTAACAAAGCTGCTATGCAGCAGATGCCTCATGAACATCACATTCTGCCACTCTCCTCAGAAAACTCATTGGGGTGCAAGTGAGCTATTCTCTGGCAACTTAGAAAGAACCCAAGATTTGGGTTTAAAGGAAATCTAACTGTTGGCTACTCCTGTAACCCCTGCACATTTGAAACAGTTCAGAAATGGATCCTTTTTCTTTCTTTGTCTTAGCATAACTCCAAATAGATTCAGTGAACTAAATCCTCAGTCTCCCTGAACAGGTAGAGGTTGAATTGAAAGAGTGATTAAAGGATGCCCACTTAGCTGAGTGGCCTTAGATTATGTTAATACAGCATTCACAATTTTCCCCCAAAACATCCAGATCGCCCAAAATCCACTTCTAAAATCAGCTTTCTATAAGAGGTGGTCCAAGCTCAACAGTCTACGTTTCTTTGAAAGATTCTGGACTCTTACTCAAACCCTGGAAATTCTTTTTTTGCTGTGTTCTTTATCTTCCTGCTTATCAACAAAAAGAGTCAGATTCTGTTTCAAATTGCAATGTTTTTCCCCAAGGGACACCAAACTGGGTTCTCGCTATGGTAACTACAATCTCCTTCAGCATTCCAAAGTTACAACACAGTTCCTCGAAAAACTAAGTACAGTTAAATTAAGGATAGCAATTGTCTGCTGTACAACTGAACTGCTTGAATGCAAAGCCTGTGTGCAGGAAAAGGAAAGTGATTCCATGATAATTGTATCCTAGCACATACTCAACACAGGTCAATCACTGACTTTGAGGATATGACCTCCTGGCTTCAGAGAGCATGTGTGGTAGGAGCCTAGCAGTCGAGAAGGTATGAAAAACTTAGATAACATCAAGAAGAGAAGAGCAGAAAATCAGTTCTCACTCAAACAGGTTGACACTCTGCAGAGGATGCCTCCAGAAGTTACAAACCTACCACATTTTCGAACTGAAAAATATCTGACATTTTAAGCACTTGAAGCAAATTTTAAAATCATTGTATGTTTAGAATCAAAGAGCTACCAATGCGGATATTTCCAACTCTTGCAAACAAAAAGAATGCTTATTCACAGCAGTTATTTTACTTAGTATTTCAGAAGCCACAAAGCTAACTGCCTCAAGCACATACAAAAAAAAAGTTAAAGGGAAAAGATGGAACATGTTCTACTTCAAGATTAAGGCATCACAAAAATAACTTCAGGTCACCAGGAACAAAGGAATGTCTCATGCAGGTTTGAAACCACACTTCCTGAGCTTCCTTTGTGAAGAGCAGAGTTGAGCCCCAGCAATGCTTAAATGGTGCTGATATGCTTAAAAGAGCTCCCCTAGGTGATGACTGCTGTTGTATAGGAACAGTCTGTCATTGCAGCACCTGTTTGTTTAAAAAAACCCTATCCTTACATGATAGAAGGAACATCTTAGGAAAATGCAAGCAGTCCCAGAACAGGAGCCCATCAGACCAGAAAAGGGGCCCATAAGAAGATTGATATAGAGAGAAACTATTCAAAAGACAGAATAGAAAAGAGGACAGGTTAGAACAAATAATCCTGAAGTGAAAACCTATGTTCTCTAAGTTTAGCACTGTCAAATTTAAGCAAAGCAACTAGTACTTTAACATGTAACATTTAGAGTTCAGCAGTTATTTCGAGCAGTAAGCCAGTAAAATTCCCCTTCATATTTATGATGTGCAGGGTTTTCAGTTGCCATAGAAAACAGCATCTTCCTGATAAGAATTATTTTCCCAGAAATAGTCATATTAACCAGTACAGACTGCACACAGTTTTACACCTTCAAATAACCAAGACCTTAGTGGTTGCTGTTAGGCTGTGAAGCAACTCATAAGCACTTATTTATGTTTTAGGCTGCTACCATGAATTCAAGTCTGGGCTACTAATTTTTCAGTAACCAGAACAGATAAATTTCTGTTGAGACATATGGGAAAAACTTGAAAATCGTGGCTGTGGGACACAGGGGGAAGGATAATCTATACCAACCCAGGCAGCAGAGGTGCTCCGGTCTACAGGTTTTGTAGGCACACGTCTGGGATTCTGGGCCAAAGGCAGCGGAGTTTCGTAGCAATGGATGGGTCCTGCCCGCGGCTTCTCAAGGAATACCAGCTCTGCCTTCTTGGCCTTGTGGGTACATTTCTTCTTTGGAGGCATCAAGAGGTATGGTAAAACCACTTAGAAACCTCATGATGCTTGTTAGAGCCAGTTGGAGAAAGAGGGAAGCACCCCAAGGAGATGCTGAAGTGCTCTCGATTCTGTAGAAGGCAAATAAATGTATTTGAAGATAGGCTTGTTTGGAAACCTCAGATCTAGTTTTTAACAAAAGCAAAACATTTATGCAGCAGTTGAGCATACAAGTCTCTAGGCAGACTTCTTCCTACCAGTAGTTTTTGAACCTTCTGTTGATTTCCAGGTAGGTTTAGAAATGCACAGCTGGAATTGGAGCAGTTGACCTACTGATCCAACTATATAAAATCAGCTATCAAAAAAAAAAGTCAGAAAAACTTGCTTTCTCTTTTCAATTTAATTTGGTTTGTAATGCCAAGAATATACTGTAGGGCCAAGGTAACCAGCAGTCTTTACATTTCTAGTTGCTAACTACCTTTTTAGTTAAATACCTTTTAATTTCAGGAATTTTAAAGTTTTTTAGTTTGTTTTTGTTGCAGGACAGAGTTGACATTTCCCTCCTGTATTCTACAGATCTTGCATTATTTTTTTTTTACCTAATGAATAAATTTGAATTGAAGTAACATTGAATTTAATTTTCCATTGAAAAACAGATCACAGAATCAATTAGGTTGGAAAAGACCTCTGAGATAATCAAGTCCAGCCTGTGACCAAACACCGCCATGTCAACTAGACCATGGCACTAAGTGCCACATCCAGTCTTTCCTTAAACACCTCCAGGGATGGCAACTGGAGCAGCCCATTCTGGAGCCCATTCTATTGTCTAATTATCCTTTCTGTGAATAAATTCTTCCTAATGTCCAACTGAAACCTCCCAAGGCACAGCTTAAGGCTATGTCCTCTTGTTCTGCCACTTGTTACCGAGGAGGAGGCCAACCCCCACCTGGCTACAACCTCCTGTCAGGTAGTTGTAGAGTGCAAGAAGGTACCCCCTGAGCCTCCTTTTCTCCAGGCTTAACACCCCCAGCTACCTCAGCTCTTTTTCAGAGAACTTACTCTCTAGACCCTTCACCAGATTTATGTCCCTTCTCTGGACATGCTCCAGCACCTCAGTGTCATTCTTGAATTGAGGGGCCCAGAACTGGACACAGCACTCGAGGTATGGCCTCACCAGTGCCAAATACAGGGGGACGATTACTGCCCTGGTCCTGCTGGCCACGCTGTTCCTGATACAGGCCAGAATGCCAGTGGTCTTCTCGGCCACCTGGGCACACTGATGGCTCATGTTCAGCCAGCCTGAATCACCGCGGGCGAGCTCAGAAGAGGAACTCCAAGAAGAACATTTTAGGAGAGATGCATACGAATGCAACATCCTGAATGCTTACCAGAGGTGCAGCCTCCTCGGGGCGTCCTGCGGGCCCCCGCAGCCCGGTATAGCCGTGACACACGTTAAACGGCGAAACTCCGCGGCTCTTCACCGGGGGCCAACGCACGGCCGGCGACCCGGGCACAGGGCAGGGCTTCCAGGCGGCGCGGCTGGAGGGAGCTCCGGGGACTGCCTCAGACGGGACGGGACGGGACGGACGGGACGGGACGGGACGGGACGGGACGGGACGCGGACGGACGGACGGGACGGGACGGACCCCGGTAGGACCCCGGGTCCCACCGCTCCGCCGGCGCGCCCGCCGGCCAGCGTAATCCCCCGCGCCACGCCCCATTGGCCCGCGCTGCCACCCGCCCCGCGCCGCCCGCCCATTGGCCCCGCCGCGACCAGCCCCGCCCGCCCGCCCGCCCCGCCCCGCCGCAGGCCGGGCCGCCCGCCTCACATGGCCGCAGGACCTACAGCGCCGGCCGCCCTCCAGTATCCTTCAAACTCGGGCGCCCCGGGAGCGCGGAGGCCACCGCCGATTCCATCGGCCCTGTCCACCCGGAGAGCTGGTGCAGTCTCCAGCTGCGCTGCGCCGCACTCCAGTATCCCCTGCAAGGACCTGGCAACCCGGGCGGCCGCGCTCAGACTGTAAGGCGCCCAGGGAGAGGAAGCACTTAGGCTCGGCCTGGGGCGGGGGAACCCTCGGCGGGGCAGGCGGACTTACGGCGGGCGCGGCGGCGCTGGGCTGGAGAGAGCCGGAGGAGGAGGAACAGAGAGTCCTTTAGCGCTGCCCCTCTTACCACCCCTGAGGCCTCGTGTGCACAGGGGTGCTCCTGGGCCTTTACTGGTGGCAGCAGCTCCAGGCCTGTTTGGGAAGTGGCGCGCTCCTGTAGGGAACGCAGTCTGTTGGAGGCTGGCTAAAGGCTCCTCTTTGGGCGCTGTCTAACCGGGATGTCTCTTTAAGGGGGTGGAGCTGATCGCAAAGGGCCGTACGTGTGCATGTGTGCCACGACCCGCATGGAGTGCGGAGCGTTCCCGTCGCTGCCGGGCAGCCCGCGATCCCGGGGCTGTCTGATCCCTGCGCGTAGGGCAGCTCGGTTTGTTTTCCGCTGGACTCTCTGCTTTGTATCAATGTAGGTGACTCTTACTGAGAATTTTCTCGTTTACCTGCTGGCCCAGTCCAATCCAGCAATGTAAAAGGCCTCCTTTTTTACATTAGGGATGCCTGGCATCCCTCATGATAAACAAAAAGTAAAATTTGTGTGTTCTCGTTCTGTTATAGTTTGCTGTAAGACACAGGTTCCACCAAATTCTTGATGGCATTATAAGCAGTATTCTCACTGCATCTTGTCCTGGAAGCAGTATCTATGAATTTTATTTCCTCTGCTTCCTGCTTTATAGTCTAAATTGCCTGTTGTCAAAAAGTTTGACATTTAAATGTATGCTGCCCAATGAGGAATTTATCTGGTTCTTGACAAATCTACAGAAAAAACGACTAGAACATTTACTTTACATCTGTTTTAAAGCGCTTAACTTCTGCTGCATTTATTGTGTGCTTTTGTAGTGTTTGAGATAATCTCTTCTTCCCAGATCTTAAACCATCTGTAAATTCCCTTTTCACTCAGGTTGTGTAATCTTCTATAAGAATCAGGACTGCTACTTCTATGTTCTACTTTCTATCCATTCCTGCTTGCTGGCTGATGCTGGCCAAGTCACATTATAGCTAAGACTTTCTATAAAGTACAAATACACACTTTCCTCATTATTATGTACTTTGTGATGCAAACTATCTACTGTGCAAATATCTCTCCTGTCCTGCTTACACAAGGTGCAAGTAAAGGAGGTACAGTATGACTTTTCAGTAGCCTTGCCAACCTTATTAAACACTTTTGATTTTATTTTCCTTTTGTGTTTTTGGCTTTGTAGCAATTGCTGAGAATGTGTGCTCTGTGGGAGACCTGCGATGATTTGCTGCACTCTTTATGTCGTATCTTTTGTTTTACAGGATTTGTTCCTCTCCCTTTCAATGGAGAGTGACAGTATAGATCAATAATGAGGACCAGCCCTCGCAGGCCCTTAATTCTCAAAAGACGGAAACTGACCCTCCCACAGACGGATGAATCCAGCACTTCAGCAAGAGATGAGAACAGAGGTCAGGATGAAAAGACTCCCAAGCAGGAGCACAGCCAGGAGGACCAACACAACAGACAACCCCGAGACAAAAGGGACTGTGGCCTGCAGAAATTCCCAGCGGGAATAAAGATAATTGACCATCCTACAATGCCCAACACACAAGTGGTGGCCATCCCTACAAATGCTGATATCCAGAGCATCATAGAGGCACTGACAGCAAAAGGAAAAGAATGTGGCAACAATGGACCCAACAAGTTCATCCTCATTAGCAGTGGGGGCACATCCCGTTCAGCAGGTCCAGCACCATCACAGCACCTCCCATCAGAGAAGAAAGCCAGTGCAGCAGTCAAGGCTGCAGATGGTGCAGAAAGAGAGAAGAATGTTACACAGACACCTGGTCTTGCCGGCGGGACAGCGCTCTGGCATTCAGGAGCTGATTCTGCGGGTGGACAGGAACAGGAGAGCAACAGTATGTAGTCTTTACCAGGTTTCTTTTGGTTGGTTGGTTGGTTGGGTTTTTGTCCTGACAGACAAAGAGATGTGAAGTGGGCCAATGAGTGTAGTACTTGAATCTTGGTACGGAGTAACAAATAATATTTAGTTAATTACAAAATAGCCTATAGATTTGATTCTAATAATCTACATAGCTTTGCACATCTAGTGAAATCTGAAGGATCACAGTGCATATGTTTTTAGTGGAAGACATCTGAGCTTCTGACTTGGATCTTGTGCTATGTCTTTCGGTTAGAGTCTGTCATCACCATCCTTGGCTTCTGCTTACTAAATTCATCCTTTAGCTAACGATATTCTTGAAGCTAGATCAACATTGTCCCGTTTTGGTTGAAAGCAGTAGTCTGGTTTGAGTGTTCATTTTTAAGGCTGCAGCTCTTTTCAGAAATAGGCAACTTCACATGAAATCAGGAATTCAAGAGTAATTCCTTCCACAACATTAGCATTGCAATACCATCTTTTACTAGTGCGACTAAATGCCTTCCTTTTGATAGTTGAGATGAAGGGTTAAGAGGGTTACTTGTAAGTAAGCAGAACTATGATAAGGGCTTCTGCACTTCGGTCACAATCCCATGCAGTGCTACAGGCTGGGCAAAGAGTGGCTGGAAAATTGCACAGCAAGAAAAGGACCTGGGGGTGCTGGTCAACAGTGGCTGAACATGAGCCAGCAGTGTGCCCAGGTGGTCAAGAAGGTCATTGGCATCCTGGCCTGTATCAGGAACAGTGTGTCCAGCAGGACCAGGGCAGTGATCGTCCCCCTGCATTTGGCACTGGTGAGGCCACACCTTGAGTGCTGTGTCCAGTTCTGGGCCCCTCACTACAAGGAAGATACTGAGGTGCTGGAGTGTGTCCAGAGAGGGGACATAAATCTGGTGAAGGGTCTAGAGAGTAAGTCCTATGAGGAGCAGCTGAGGGAACTGGGTTTGTTCAGCCTGGAGAAGAGGAGGCTCAAGGGAGACCTTATTGCTCCCTACAACTACCTGAAAGAGGTTGTAGCCAGGTGGGAGTTGGCCTCTTCTCTCAGGCAACTAGTGACAGGATGAGAGACCATAGTCTTAATCTGTGCCAGGGGAGGTTCAGTTTGGACATCATCAAGAATTACTTCCCTAAAAGGGTTATCAAGCATTGGAACAAGCTCCCCAGGGAGATGGTAGAGTCACCATCCCTGAAGGTGTTCAAGAAACAACTGATCGCAACACTTAGTGCCATAGCCTGGTTGCCAAGGTGGTGTTTGGTCAAAGAAAGGACTCAGTGATCTTGGAGGTCTTTTTTTAACATAAATGATTCTGTGATTCTGTAATATGGGCTTGCTATCCCAACAGGCAGTGGTGAGACAATGAGCTCTGTGTTGGACAATAGTCTCACTAACATCCAGTGGCTGGGGAAGATGAGATCTGATGGGCTAAATCCCTCTTCTGTGAAGCAAGACACAGAGAAGGAGAACCAAATGCCTCTGCAGGAAAGAATCAAGGTAAGTAGGAGAAGACAACAGCATGTCTAAAATTTTTGGTAAGGAAGTAATCTATGTGGATCAGAAGATTTCCAAGAACTAGGCATCGCTGTCTCTAAGTAACCTGGGTTTGGCCTTTACTGATTTGAATAGAACATGGAGGATCCAGGGATCATTCATGTATTGCTCCTTCTGTCTCTCAGACTGAAGAAGAAGCTGCTGCTGCTATTCCTACTGCTGCTGCATCCTCATCATGGCAGGATTCAGTGTCAGAACGACCTCCTTACTCCTACATGGCCATGATCCAGTTTGCCATCAACAGCACTGAGAAGAAGCGTATGACTCTGAAGGACATCTATACCTGGATTGAGGATCATTTCCCTTATTTTAAACATGTAGCTAAGCCAGGTTGGAAGGTAACAAGCAGGCCTTCAAGTTGCTGTGGGCCACAGGGTGATGTTATAAGCCTTCTGGATCAAAATGAAAAGTTTTTCCCCAGCCTGCAGAGCAAGATGGAAATTCATTTAAACATCCTACCCCAAATACCCTCCCATTCCAGATGTTCACTCTCCCATTTCTTGTATCCCTTGTCTCATTCCACTTGAGCAAGATGATGGTATATTTGATCACTGGACTAAGAATAAGGAATTCAAGAGTAAATAGAATAAGAGACTGATGACAGGGTTGGCTGGGTATGCTGTGAATATGAAAGTTCAGTGTTGTCTACCCTCTGGAATCTAATCCCTTTGCTAGGGCAGTCATGTTTGAGGTAGCCCTTGCTGTGCTGATAACAAAACTACTGCTTTTCAACTCCCCTCACTGCTTTCTCCCCAGAACTCCATTCGGCACAACCTGTCCCTTCATGATATGTTTGTCCGTGAGACATCTGCTAATGGTAAAATCTCGTTCTGGACTATTCACCCTGATGCAAACCGTTGCCTAACATTGGACCAGGTATTTAAGGTGAGTTGCCTCATGCAAAGAAAATAGGACAGGTTATCCAGTTTCTAGGCAGATGCACCTTATTTTAACTGTAAAGTTAAGCTGCTTTGACATTAGCCTTTTTGTAGAAGCTGTATTCAGTCACTTCTCTTGACAAATAGACAAGCTCTGCATTTGAAAGAAAAGGTGCTGTGGTTGTGCTTTTGACCTGGAGCTTTTGTGGAACGTGTTCATTCTTCAGATGCTGTGCCAAATGTAATAGTCAGCTTGTTCAACTTCTTTCCATGGGCCTGATTCAAATTCCTAATGAGAAGCTTTCCACTGAAGCCAACCGGATGTTCCTACGCTGTTTGATAAGTCAGTCATAGGATGGAATTCTCCTATCCCAACTAGGTGTTTTAGGAAGTATCATTTTGTGGGGGAAATAGAGCTTGTGAGTCTGGTATAGGTGTGTTTAGACTCCTCTGTATTTTCTGCTGGGTAGCCAGATTGACTTTTGTTCACTTAGATTGTGCAAGTTTAAAATGACCCAATCGTCCCCCTCTTTGGCTGATAACTTCATCTTAATTTTTTTCCCTCTCAATGCCTTCTGCCACCAGCCGCTGGAATTGGGGTCACCAACATCGCCTGAATGCTCTGAATCAGTAAGAATTACCCTCTGGCATGGGGCTTGATCTTCCATTCTCTTCTTGCTAGTCACTGATGGAAAGGACAAGAGGCCTGGGGAGGGGGACTGGGTCACTGTTGCACCTAATCATACAGCTCCATGCACACCCTTTTTGGGGAAAGAGGTTGAGCCAAAGGTTAACTGCCTTCAGATGATATGCTCTCTCTCTAGCTGGTAGAGCTGTACAGCTTTGAGCAACTTGGAATTCTACTGCTGAAGTAGGCTGCAATGGTGACCAATAGGCTTCAGAGAACAAGCCCGGAGATTTCTGGCAAAATTATCATCTCCATGGCAGCAGTCCCAATCTGTTCTGGGGCTCAGATGCAGAGAGAATAGGGTTTCTCTGTGTTGCTTTTTCATTTTGGAACCCAGCTGCATTGTGACTCTGAGAAGGATGAATCCGTTTGCTGTCGCTCTTGCATTCAGCAGTTTTAACAGTGATGGATTTGCAAGTGTCCAGTCAAACACTTCTCTTGCAGCTACAACTCTGACCTTCCTTCCATCTCCTCAGAATTCTGATTCTTCTGTTGCTTCTGCTATTCCATTTGAACATCTACCTGGTCTATGGTTTGTACAGAGATCCCATATACAATAAAGCCATCCTAATCACTGTTCCTCAGGCTCTGAGGATGCCAAAACCAGGTCCCTTTTGCAGTAGAGTCTGCAGCTGAAGCAGATCTGTCTTTTTCTACACAGCCTTTGGTTGGCAGCTGGCTTTGGGATGGTATGGCTGCAAAACAGCAAGCTGCAGGGACCTAGAGCTGACATGAGGGCTGGGTGCTAACAGCTGCTCTCGCTACATTAGCGCAGCCCAAAAGTCTGGTTTCACAGTTCTAAATGAGGCAGAAGAATAAATATGGATTCTTTGTTTTAATCTTTTTCTTTTCTCCTTCTCCTCTTTCTTGTTTCACAATGACTGCAGCAGCAAAAGAATCGTCTTCCAGATACCCTGAAGAACGTGGGAAACAAAACTGAACCCCAGAATTCACGTAAGTGTCTACATCAGCCTAGGCCAAAGAGAATCAATTCAGTAATCTGGGGCACTCTCTCAGATTCCTTTAGGAATGCAAGTTGAATTTGTTATCCAGGTTTGCCAGCTTTTATACTCCCTATTGTCAGGTCTGAAATTGAAGGCAGTATTGCTGTGTCTGAGAGAGGATGTGATGGGGAGATGGTGAGATGTGATGGGTATGCAAATAGAGTGAGAGCCCTAGCTTGAGGGCTAGGATCTGTATGAAGGACTATTTTCTTGTTAATGAGGCCTTCTGGCTTCATATTTGTATTCTCAAAGTTAGCAGAGAAGGCAGGTGAGCCTATCTGATTGAATGTTTGTTTTGGGGGGTTTCGAAGGACTCTGTTAGATGCCTGGGTTTCAAGAGGTAGTTGTAGAGGATAAGAGGCTACTGAGTCCATTCTTCTCCCTTCCAGGCCGAAAGATGAAGCCTTTGCTTCCCCGCGTCAACTCCTACCTGGTTCCAATCCAGTTTCCTTTGAGTCAGCCTCTTGTCCTGCAGCCTTCTATGAAGGTTCCTCTATCCATGGCACAGGGAGCATCCCTTAACAGCTCAGAGACTTTGCAGAGCAATAAGCGTGTGCGCATTGCTCCAAAGGTTGGTTTCTTGTTTTCCAAGGTTTTTTGTGTGGCTTTTTTATGGGGGTGGGAGTGGGGTTAGGGGGTAGGGTAGGAAGAGTGGGTGGGTGGGTGTGGTTTTGGGGTTTCATTTGTTTGTTTTGAGTTTTTGTGGGGTTTTTGTTTGGATTTTTTCTATATCTCTTACCTCCAATAGACCTGTTCTTCATATGGTTCCTTTGTGCATCTTTTCTAGGTGCTCTGAAACTCCCAAGTTCATACTAATCCTTACTATCCTTTACTGTCTGTAGGCTGACTATTACCTGCTAGTTTACTTGCTATAAGGATGTTTCTATAATTTGTCAGAGGAAGGGACTTAAGGATTGGTTAAAACAATTTTTCTCTACCGCTTGGATGTGAAGAAAAAAGAATGAGAGAAGTGTCTTTTTTCTGATCCTAAAACATTCGTATTTTTGATAGCAGTAATGACATGTAACATAAAGAACTTTTTCTGAAAGAGTACTTATTTCATGCCGTTTCTTCCCAGAGGTTTTCTGTATCTGCTGTTTGCTAATTTGGTGGAGTTCCCAGTTATTCTGGGCTCAAGAAAAACAGCTATTAAACAGGTCTTTCTCTTGGCATCTCACTGACTGCTGTTGTATGCTTAGACATTGTAAAGCTTTAACTTCTTCTATCCGATCTAACCATAATTCTGTTTTCCTTTGTGTGACTGCTGCTTTATGTCCTTCCCTGCTATGATTTATCTTTCTCCTGTGCTCTTTTTCTTTTGATAACCTCATTTTTTTCGTTTCCTTTTCCTTGGTTTCTGAGAAAGCTGTCCTCATTCATTTTGTTATTCACATATAGACGGTATAAGAAGAAATCAAAGGAGTTCCATTTTTTCCACAAATATTTGGCTCTCCTTCTGCCTGTACTCCTAGAAGTTGCTTATAGATTAAGTGTTGTGAAGGGAATGACTTTCAGTCTCTTAGCTGAAATTCTTCCCATGTGATCTGTAGGCTTCTTTCTGTTGACTTTACCAAGATCAGTCTGTATCTGTTGTTATAGTTACTGCTTTCTGAAGATCTTCCTCTTACCTTTTTCTGCTGATCTTAAGTGCCAATCTTTCTTTTCTTCTTTCTACTCTTATTTGCATTTTGGGTGGGTTAGATCCTTGCTTACTGACTGCATGTCACTTGCGTTTCTTTATAGATGTCACTGTCTACAGAAGAGTCACCCTCTTTACCCACGGCTGCTGTCAAGGAAGAGGGTCAATGTGATGAGGGTTTATTCTCCCCAGCCCATTCCCTAAAGGAGAACAGCTCCCAGCCTGGTGAGGAATTGGCTTCTTTCCCTGAAGGTGTCTGTATAAAGGAGGAAGAAGGCTGTCAACTGGATGACTGGCTGTCCCCATTTGCCTCAACCATAACGGTAAAGGAAGAGCCAGGCTTATTCCTCCCAGACTCATCCACAAAGGAGAAGAAACAGGTCACCACACTGAAGTCCCCACCTAGGGCTGTTTCTGACTCGTTAGTTATAAAGAGGCGGGAAAGGCGGGAAATGGGCAGATCCAGGAGGAAACAACGTCTAGCACTGCCTTGCTCAGAAGAACCTGTCCTTGTTTTGCCAGAAAGCAACAGCTTTGACCCTTTTCGGTTAGCGGCAGACTGTCCCTTCCCACTGGAAAGCCAGCCTCTTGAACAGGTATCACAGCTCAGCTGCTCGCAGGGAGAAGAAGGAGCCTTTAAAACACCAGTCAAGGAGATCTTCGGCAAATTGCCAGTTTCTTCCACTCCCAGCAAAGTCTCAGCCACTACTACCCCCTCTCTAGAGGGCCTTGACCTCTGGAAGTCTGCTTCCTTAGCCAAGGGAAGTCACGAGCTGGACTTCAGTCCAGTGAAAACCCTTCAGTTGCCATTCACACCCCTCCAGGACAACCAGGACTTACTGGGTTTTAACAGCACACCCCTTAAAAATCCGCTCTTTGATTCTCCTCGGGAATTTCTCAATACAGAATCCAGTGATATGGCTCATGCCCCCCTCACAAGCTCTCCAGCGTTGGTTCGTGAGTCCGCTAAGCAATCATCTGCTGAACTGACAGCCTCTGGCTTTACTGAAAACCGGTCACTCATGGAGGGCCTTATCCTGGACACCATGAATGACAGTCTGAGCAAAATCCTTCTGGATATCAGCTTTCCCGGTCTTGAGGATGAAAATTTAGGAACAGACATTAGTTGGTCTCAGCTGATACCTGAACTGAAGTAAACTGGCCTGAGGGCTGAATTTGGCTTGTTCTGATGTTACAGAAAGCACTCTACATGTATGGATCTCAGATGAGTAGTCTAAGACAACTCCTTTGACTAATTTCCACAACAGGAATAATAAGAGGGTGTAACTGACTCCTGCTAAGCTGGGAGACAGGCCCATCAGCTGCTATGAGCTTCTTTTATAAGATGCTATAGACTTTGTGTAGAACAAGGTAGAACTGCTCTAGCCTTGTGCTAGAGATAAGAATCCCTGGAGAGAGGTTATCAAGAGAACATCTAGATAGGCCCTGAATGGCATTTGCTCCTCGGTATCAGAGGAAATGAACACACTCCTCAGTGTGTTCTCAGGAAAGAGCCTAAGAACCTCATCCTAGCTCTATCTTAATTTCCTTTACTTTGTTCCCCTATTACTTAGTATCTTCTGTCTAGATTTAATGGGTGTAAATACTGTACATTCCTTAAATTAGCCCTTAATTATAAGAATAATTTTATTATTGTAGGGTTACGGGAATATTTTGACTGGTAAGGGATTGACCTAGAGTGTTGTCCGTATGTTCCACACCTCCTGTATTCTACCCTAAATAAGACCTCAAAGTGAGAGGCGTGAAGTACTTATGGAGAAGAGCTCACATCAAGCCATATAGCTCTTTTGATTCCAGAGTCCTATTATGTACCTGGAGGACTAGGTAGAGACACTGTTGCAGTAAGTTGGACGTCTATTGAATTGTTAAAGCTTCTATCATTACAGTCATCAGTTGAAAATGTAAAAAAGAACCTCTAAAGCGAATGCTGATATTTCCACTGTAAAGTGACCTCTGAAAATACAAGGTATGTGTGTCTCGGTGCAGCAGAACAACTATTCCCAGCTCTCTAGAACTTATGTCAAAGTAGGAAATTGCCATGGAAAAGATCTGATCCTTCTGCTTTCAAAGAAATGGTGATTCCTGTATCTACATACTCAATAAAGCTTCTGTGGGAACACAGCTGAGTATTATCTGTACCCCTCTTAGCTGGGATTGGGCCATAGCATGAGCAACCAATTTCTGCACATCTCATGTGTGTGCTTCGTGATCACTGAGCAAGTGGTCACTGGGACGTTTTCAGTATTCCTCAGGCCATGTTGACCAAAACACATTAAATTTGGTTACTCAACCCATTGCTTCATACAATATACTTTTTCCTGCCATTTGTGGATAAATCCTGACTTTACAAGTCAGAAGCATGCAATCTGAAACATCACAACACCACCAGCAGATGAGTTTCTCTATCTTGTAAATGCAAAACAAATCTCAATCAAAACTCTGTATTTCTACCTTCCCTTAAAGAGATAAAACCAGTTTTAGATATGTGTGGTTTTCAGAACTGCAGTTCTCTTGTGTGCTTGTTAGAGGTATTTGCCCTCAGAAGATGTTTCAAGAACTTTGGTTTAACGGTTATTATTTCAGTTTCTCTGGTTATGAGGCTGCAGAGAAGGCCTGGTTTGTGGCATACTTTCTGTTAGCACATCTTGTACAGCTGTCAACACTCTACTTGGCTTTCTCAAGGTATCCTGTCATGCTTTGATCTCACTTCTCAAGCCTGAGAGGATGTATGCACACAGCTGACATCCAAGAGCCAGCTATTTGTCTCCAGCAAATAATGAAATGTTCTTGTCCTTTGTGTCAATTCGAGGCAGGTGATCCCCTGCTGTCCCTATCAGCTGAGGTGCTTTGATAGCCACCTCACATTGTGTTTTGAACATAGTAGTCCCAAAGTTTAGTTTCCCTTCCTGTTAAGTGGTCCAGTGAGAGCACTGCTAGAGGGCAGTTATATGAAAAAGGTGGGAGGAACAACAGAAAAAATTCCAGAATACTGCTCCCCAGCAGATTTCTCATTGTTTGGGCCAACCTAGTTCAAAGCCCCCGTTGGTGAGGATTTAGTTACAAAATGTTTCTCTATCTGTGTTTGCCTTATATTCTACCTGGATCCTTTCCTTAAGGAAAGGTAGTTATCACCTGTCCTTCTGCAGGCTCAGTATTTGAATTATAGTGTAGGGGTGTGATCTTGTAAGACAGTGGATGCTTCTGTCCACCCTCTTTCAGTAAGAGCAGAGCCATACTTCTTGTCTTTTCATGAACCTGTTGCAGCCCAAGAGCAAGTGGGCATAGCTCTTCACACCCTTTGCATAGCACCCCCCAGATCTTCTCTGAATGATGTGCAGGAGCATCCCAAGACTGCCCTTAGTTTCTGATAATAGAGAAGACTGTTTAACACCTAGCCAGTAAAAACAAACATTAATTTAGGATACAATTTTTAAGAGACCTGGGACACACAAATCTACAGGGGGACAGCAAGTGCTGTGGATGCTCCGGTCCTCTGAAAATTCTGCTCTACACCTGGCAGGAAGCGCAACAGATGCAAAGGGGAAGGTAATTCCCCTTCATTGGCTGAGTGGGGTTTTTTCCTACTATGTTATGTCAGCTGAAAAGGACTGGATACCCCATAACATGAGGTGAGCAAGGATGATTGCCACCTTTTTGATTTTGCCGCTTGGCTGGCAGAGGAAGAACTTGATTCCTTCCCCATACAGAAGAGAAGAAACCCTGTTTTACGAAGTAGCAGTCTTTTTGTGACAGTGTCAGGCCTTCATTTCTACCAGAGGGCTCTACCAGAGCTCTAAAGAAAGGTGAAAATTTCTTTTTTAGTAAAATATCTAATTTCCTCTCTAAAATGCAGTATGGACTCAGAGAGCACAATGACAGGTTTGAAAAATGTGAGCTGGTTCCTGAACAGAAATAGCATCCTTCCCCCCTCCCCTTTTTGTGACAGAGGTGAGCTACGACTGGGTAAGAAGATATTCAAGGCATAACAAAGTATTAGCTCCTTGAAATTAAGAAGAAAATGTCCTGCTTTAACAGTCATCTCAGACTGGTTTCTTGCTTTGAAACAAAGAGAGTTTAGAATGTAAAGGCCACGAATCTGAACTGCTGATGCAGGTCAAATGACACATTTTTCCTTGAGTTTCAGCTATGACTTTCCTTGGAAAAATAAAGATCATGAATACCCTGATATACAGCTTACAGACAATGCAGGCAAAGCAGATTCCATTCTACGCCACAAAATCAGTGGGAAGTCGTTATATAGATCACACTGATGAACTGTTTACATAGAAGGTATATCATCAGAATTTATCCTCCTAATTTGCTTCCATTTTTTTTAATGTACCCATTTCAAAACAAACATTTAATGACTTTATTTAGGGAAGTCAAGGAAAATGCCACGAATTATTATAAAAATACAGTCAGACATGGTTTTATGCTCCCCTCCCTGCTGTAGGTCTCTATTAACTTCTCTTGGATGTATAGGAGGTTGCTGCCAATAGGGCCCTTGTTTATTTAGTTACATAACTTGGTGAAGGTAAGTTTTCTTATATTCATCTGTGATTACAAGCAAAAGACCTGCTCATTAGAACCATGACTGTTCAAAGGATGGACTAATTTTCCAACAAAAACCCCCCTCATCTTCACTGCACTTCAGAAGAATCTCTTAATATTGCTGGTGTTTTCTATAGAATACTGGTTTTCACTACCAGCATGTTATCTTTTCTTGGTGTACTGTGTTTTTTCACATTTGATGCATTTTTGTATAAATTTTAATAAAGATAACGTTTTGGAAAATACACAACAGGCCAGAACATTCCATCTCAACACTATGCTTTGTCCATGAAGTAACACGTTTAGATTACTTACATCTTTTTTTTTTTTTTGTATTCTGAATTCTGAGATTACATTTTTTCTATGCACAAAGTTATTTTGGATTGTGGAACCATATTCCACCTGCAATTTCTGTTCTGGATAATGCATGTATATTGCAAAGCCCTGAAACACTTGATTTAGGAGTGTTTATCTGAGTCTTGTGGTCTAATCTGCCCTGAGTTATCAACATGCATTTTCCACTTTAAGGTTTGCTTTAGAAAAGTTTCTGTTTGGAGCAGCTAAAGTTTAGCCTGCTCTCATGGTAGTCTTAAAGTTTCAGACAATTAACAGTGTTTGATATATTTAGCATCTAATCCAAACCCTCCAGGAGGGGAAGAAAGGTCAGGAATGCAGCAGAACTGAAATCATAAAACACATTGCTTGGAACATGTGGGATCACTGAAGATGCCTTCAGGATCAATATGGTTTTCCAAGTTTTTGCAAGTAATGATGTCAATGACACAGAATGGTCTGACCTGAGGAGCTCTGATCTGTCGCTAATTAGTTCTTGACAGTCTGCACTCTGCAAGCATACCCACAGGACTGGCATGCCACAGTGATAAGAGCTATTTTACTGTTTCCCATGGCTGAATCTCAGTTTTTATTTGTTTGCTGTTTTTATTAAAATCTTGGAGTCAGGAGATCATGAGATAATCTCAGTTGTCATTCAAATCATGTCAAGGCCTAGCCATCAAGAATTTAACCAACAGCTGGTGCATATACAAATGCATCCTAATGGCTAGGAAACCAGTGTTTATAATCTAAAATAAAATCACATTGTTAAAGCATCATTGTTACTCATCAAATCCTTGAGGTGATAACACATCCCTCTGTCTTCCTGTCACTGCAGGTGCACTGTGTACATAAAACACCTTCTGTACTAGAAGTACTGTACTAGAAGTGCTGGGGATTCCATCATAAAATCCTGAATCGTCTGAGCAGTAAATAAAATATCCACACTGAATTTAGCCTCAAGGTAGAGTTATTCTACTGGGGAGAGAAGGGGCAAGAAACACAGGGAAGGCAGTTCAAGCAGTCCAATTCCTTCTATAAATTAGAGCAGAAGAATGTTTTGCTCAGTTTAAAAAAATCCTTTTAAGCAAATCTTTTCTTGAAAAGACCTAAGGCCTCTCTGCTTTTGAAGGATTTTGTCAGGGTGTCCTTCTTGACTTTGATGTTTCCCTTTTTACGAGCTGAATGAAAATGTTCTGGTTTTTGACTGTTATGAGCATTCTTTAAAAAAATTATTTCACATCTTTAGCCCAGTCATAGCTGGCAACTAAAATCTGAGAAGAGATTTATTCAGTACAGAGTGTGCTCCAGCACAGACCTACTGAAGTGTATGGGGATTTCTTTCTGAACCTGCTCTTCACGACTGTCAGCAGCTGAGAATGGCAACACGAGTGCTTGTGTCCTAGGGACTTGTTCTGGGCTTCAGGGAGTGGATGATGCAAAGGAAGAGCTTGATGAGAAGATGGTGTCTCAAAGAGTCAAATGGAGACAGGGTTCAGAAGACAGAGAATCACAGTCATAGAATCATCTAGGTTGGAAAACACATTTAAGATCATCAAGCCCAACCATTAACCTGACACTGCCAAGCCCACCATTAAACCTAAGTGTCTACAATCTACATATTCTTTAAATACCTCCATGGATGGTGACTCAACCACTTCTCAAGGAAGTCTTCTTCCAGTGCTTGATAACCCTTTCAGTGAAGAAATTTTTCCCAATATCCATTTTAAACCAGCCCTGGCTCAACTTGAGGCTATTTGAGAGAACAAAGAAGAGAAGAAGGTTCGACAAGGACCATCATAGTCATCGATTCCACAGTCTTCATGTTTAAGGCTGGGGCAAAATGATCAGCTACCAGAGCAAAGCATGAGAGATACTTATTTCAGGTCTTGGGTTTGACTGGTTTACAAGGGAAGGAGAAGCAAGGAGAAAACACAATGTGGAAAAGGTGACGATTCACTAAGCAGGACTGAGGTATTGCTCCTGAAGAACCATCTACAACTGCAGCATGACTAAAGATTTGGTCAGCAAGCACTGAAGCTTGAATTACTGCATCTCTAAATGAGAGTCTGCCTGAACAAGAGAAAAAGAGGTGGGCTGCAACACCATCAGAGTGGCTGACTTCACCTAGAACTGAGTGTGTTTGAGTGGCCCTGCTACAGTAGAACTGCTCAGTCATATTGCATCAACCAGAGACATGCTACACACATAAATATACATGACTTCAACGGTGTATA